TTCTCACATTCTTGGAGGATAAAATATCAACACTCAGAAAAACCAAGGAGCAAAATCGACCCTTTTCCTCAACTAATGAAGAATACGCAAAGCATTGCAAAAACTATCACTTAACCGTCCAAATCCATCTCTCTAACAAATCTCTAGGAGGAGGGCGTCTTGTTAATTAGTGGGTGGAGAGAAGTATGAGTCAACGATAACTTTAGCTAAAAAAAGGAGTACTATAAATAGAACAAAAAATACACAAAAATAACATCGAAGAAACAAACTTCAGATACCTTAGGTTCAATCTCTTCAATGAAGAAAAAAAGGAACAAAAATCGCAGATTGAAGACAATGGCTGAATAAATCAAAAAAACATATAAACAAAAGCAATCTGTACAAAAGAAGAAGAAATTGATAATATAGTATTTTTTGTAGTTTAAACTATGTTGACAAGCAATGTACAGCTCCTAGCATAGATCAAATAGTCCAAAAGACTATCCAGAATGAAGCAAACCAGAAAATGAAGCAAGAAGTATAATTGTACCTTCTCTGTGTGCAACAACGAATAAAAATTTGGCGTTTCAAGTCTTTCAACTTGAGAATCTCTGTAAGCAGTGAAAATGAAGAACTATCATCTACATGAAGGAGAGTACAAAATAATAATACCAAGATTTAATACATAATTTTCAATGGGATGCATGGAACTCAGTCCATTTTCATTTGTTTCATAGGCAAAATTTATTCAGTCTCCTGTACTGATTTAATGTCAATTTTGTCTGAAGGATGAAAAGGTGATACCGCCCATTCAAAAGAAGATACATATATAAAATATCAGCTTCAAAATCATATAGGGTGATCATGTAGAACACAAATATTAAACAAAGATTTCATATTATAGAGATACTTTGAGACATACTCCATTTTGATCATGGACAAAGCAGCATCGAATTGTGAAGAAAAAAGAAAAGAAAACAACAGGCGCCAAAACCAGTAAAAAACGAACAAACTGCAAACTAACTCTTTTCCAGAGTGAATCAACATCTATATTATCACTCTTAATAGAAAAAAACTAACTTAATTCAAGATACTGGATATTCAAAATTATATTTATTATGATATAAATAATCAATTTAGATATCGATAGATATGTGGACGTAAGCACGACAATTTGCTTATAATGTGTTAGTATAAGAGATCATTCGGAAAATTAATACAACACGAGAAAAAAAAATCCAAAAAAATGAGCAAATAAACTATACTCATCTCGAATGTAGTGGCAGGGAGGATGCAGATACTCTAATTTTATACGTAAAAGCTCAAGAGCATTTTCCTCATTATCAGTTGTGAGGAAGTGAGGAACGAAGAAATTCACGAATCAAGACTAACAAACTTTTTAGTCGAGAATATATGAAAAACATGTCCACAAGCACATGAATTTTAGTTACCAGTTGAAACCATTGGAGCCTTTCCTTCTGATATTGATCAATAAAGGATCACTGTGATATTTGAGTATTAGAAGCAAAAGGTAAATAAGTTAGGACAGAGACCACAAAACAACACTACACCTTCATTTCAAAAATCGAACAAGGAAAATAATCATCAAAACAATCAATAACAATTAGCAGGATGATTAAACTTAAAGAGAATTGCATAGTATTTAATAACTAAACCCCCATATTATTTGTTGTGAGTGCAATGTGTAGCATTAAAATGAAGAGACTGCTTTGTTCAGCCAAAGTTTCCAGGTACACCATTTTAAACACTGTCCATATATGTTAGGAGATGGTGTAGCCCAAATATCAACAAAAAATTAAGGATACACAGCATTATAGCACAATTGCGGCGCAATAAAAAAGTGGAAAGGGCACAATGTACAGGAAATAATGAACATTATTTTCCAAAATAGGGCTCCAAGTTGGTTCTGAATTTAGAACTATTTTCCAAAAGTATATAAATTTTTAATGTAATAAGAAACTACAAAACTTTAGAGATTACTCAGGAAGCTCCTCTGCTGCTATTTAGAACTAAGCTAAGAGTCCCCAACAATACAAAGGACAAAAGTATATAAATGAGTAAGCAAGTACACCATCCAAAAAATAGTGTAGAAGCAAAAAAAT